GGTCTAGAAGAATGTTCTCCAGCGCTTTTCCAGTCCCATCCAGCAGCATTCTTGGGCGTGAACGTGGAAGCATCGACATTACCTTTAAATGAATAGATCAAATTAATAAATTCTTATTTAGAAATTATTGTTTACATAATTTATTGAATTCCTATAAAGGGTAAAATGTGTGAGGAAAGAATAAAACCCATAATGGCCAGAAATTCATAGAAAACATTAAAGAAAAAATGAGATTTCGCTATTATTTTTTGGCAGAACACTTCTTTGTTATGGCAATAGGTAAAGCAAATATAACTTTAAATGTTTACGACTACAGCTGTCCACGATTATGTCTGTGGGTATTGTTTAGGTTGCTCAAATTTGGGGGAATAGCTTATATGTAATTCTTGAAATTCACTGACCTTCATAAAAATGTGGGATTGAAATGCATGTATACATTTTTAAGTATATATAAATTTCACTCTCCTGACTTTATTCCCAGTGTCAGCATTTTCAAATTTTTTTAACGTTTATTCATTTTTGACAGAGAGAGAGAGCATGAGTGAGGGAGGGGCAGAGAGAGAGAGGAGACACAGAATCCGAAGCAGGCTCCAGGCTCTGAGCTGTCAGCACAGGGCTCAAAGCCACAAACTGTGAGATCGTGACTGAGCCACCCAGGCAGCATTTTCATTCATCTTTGGTGAGTTAACCAAACTCAAGGGCTTTTGTTACTGAGAGAACTGGCAAGGTTAAGTTTGCTAATGGCAACATCCTTAAAAGTTAACAACCACTGATCACCAGTAGACTTTGTTCCTTCCTTCTTTGGGGCAAACAAGCTTTCACCTGGGCATTCAGTCCAACCCCTAAAGACTGAATATCCTTCAAACACCTCCTTGAAAAGCACTGTAGGGGCACGTGAGTTGCTCAGTCCACTGAGTGTCCATCTTCAACTCAGGTCATGATCTCACAGTTTGTGAGTTCAAGCCCCACATCACTTCGGATCCTTTATTCTCCCTCCCCCCCACCCCGTCCCTCCCCTGCTCATGTTCTCTCTCTCAAAAACAAACATTTAAAAACATAAAAGCAACAAAATAAAAGCACTTTAGCCGTTTCCATTTTTATAGTAAGGTGAGGGCGGTACCCCTCAACCTGAACATCTTCAACCTTGAAGTCATCAATGGTCTCAACTTTTCGAAGGATCTTGAACTTCAAGAAAGGCCTTGGTTCTCACTGAAGCTGCATTTTCAGCAGCCCGACATGATTCAGGTAAGGGTGTGCATGTCCCAAAGTGTGGAGGAAGTCACGGGGCCTCAGGCCTGCGATGGGTGCCATCCCGTCAGGGAGCAGGGCGTAGCTGGTGATGCCGAAGGGCACCCCCACCCCCAGGCCCAGGTCTCCTGAGCTCCAGTAAAGTTGGTAGGACAGCTCAGCATTCACCAGGTGGAACTGGCCAAGGGCAGGGCAGGGTGGGTTAGGGGAGGGCATGAAAGGAAGATCTTTCGGGTTCCACCCACACAGGATGATTTGTAGTCACCAGGGTTGGTTTTGATCATGTCACTCACCTTTCACAGTTGGGTCTCCTCCTTGACCAGAATAATCTGAATCCTTATCTCTGTCTTCGCTACTGGAATCGATATACTGGGCCCAAATCCCCTTCTCTGTTGGAGAATGCCAGGCTGTCCAAGAGGTCTGGGGACCCCCTGGCATCCCAGATTTTCACTTCCTTGGATGACGGTTCCCAAGCGTTTGTAGAGCCCTTGATAAACCACGGCGGCTCCTCCAAAACACCCTTCCAGAAGACACGTTTGGTTGTCAGCAGGGGAAAGTCGTCTCTCGGGCTGGAGGGTGCCTGCATACCCAACACAGACAGCATACAGTACAGCTCCCTGTTTGGTGGCGGCTGCGGCTCCTGCCCCACTTCCACACGGGACAGGCGGCCACCTTGGCCGCTGCAGCTTGGAGCAGGGGGCCGTTGGGGACCGCGGCAGGTGGTGTGGGTGGTGCAGGTGGAGCAGGGCAGGGTGGTGTGGGCGCTTCCACGCCTCTTTCCCCGCTGCCTCTGCGGGGACCTCTCTTGGCGATTTCTGTTCCAGATGACTACACTGGAAAGGCTAGGGGAAGGCTAGAGCTCTTGAGAGTGTGGCTGTGGGACCCCTTGCCCCCCATCACGTGCTTAGAACAGGAAAACCATCAGGGGTGAAAAGGTGGGAGGATAAAATTTGAATGTGTTAATGGACACCGTGTGCCAGACCCAGGGGGACTCCAAGAGAAGGATGCCACCTTCTCACAGTCATGGAGATCACAGAGTTGCCTCAAGCCTGGAGAACAGCAATTGCCAAATTTTCAAAATGGTGGAAATAATATATTTTAGTATATAGAAGAGTGAGTTTTGTCTTGATCTTTTGCAAACTAAGAATGAACTCATATTAACTAGATGGCATGGGAGCACATGGAAAAGATGGACGCTGATAACACAAATGGGTTCACCAAGGTAAGCCACGTGCCTAGTTAGCAAGTCAGAAGAATTGAGCTCAGAGAGCTGAGCCAGGGATAAAAATTAGGCCCATGTGCTCTACAATGGTCATGGCCTAACTTGACTTTACTTTTTAAATGTTTATTTTTGAGAGATGAGCATGGGGTGAGGGTAGGGTGCAGAGACAGAGGGGAAGACAGACTGTGAACAGGAGAACAGAGAGAGGGAGACACAGAATCTAAAGAGGGCTCCAGGCTCTGAGCGGTCAGCACAGAGCCAGATGCAGGCCTCGAACTCACGAACCGTGAGATCATGACCTGAGCCGAAGTCTGGCACTTAACTGACTGAGCCACCCAGGCGCCCCTACTTGACCAAATTTTAAGTCTAACACTTTCATCGGGCCTGTTTTAAACGGCTACACAGCCAAAGCTGAAGGTCTCAGGGCATTTGGCGGTTTTAAAATGGTAAACATTCCACTTAAGTCAGTCCTCAATCACATGCCTGGATAGGACAGAAGACCAGCCATGAGAGCAAGTGTTAACTACTCCTATCACAGGGTTACCACCAAATGCAGGGCCAAGGTCTGGGAAACATTGACTGCCATGTTGGCTCTACCGTCTTTTGACTTTATAGTATTTGTTTTGATGTAGATAATGATGTTTTATAAGGGGGCAGTTGTATTTCTAGCTTTCCAATACCTGTACCATCTGTTTTATTACCCTGTATGTATGTATATATGTAGGTGAGTATGTTTCTACGCACATATGTATGCATGCAATTATGCTGTCCTACAGGTCATCAAATGAGAAATATGACTCAGGATTAAGGAAAGCACAACAGATAGAAACATCCTTAAGTCAATGAATTGTGTTCCCTTGGTTGGTTCTTCTTACAGGACAGTATACCAGACGGAAGCAGACAGTCACTGCTCTTGTGAAAGATCATGTATCCTTTTTCCCAAGCGTCTCTACGGAATGTAAGGGAAAATTACTAATAGTACTCTTAAACTCGTCTGGGATTCTGGGAATAGAAGCCCAGTCACTACCCCACTTGGGGAAGAGGCACAATTGAACACACACCACAAATCAGCTGCCCTCTGTCTGCTTGCACTCACACTGGAGCCGCGACCAGCTCAAGGCCAGGACAAGGGAAGACCAAGCACCATGACCACAGGCAGCCGCCCAGCGGCCAGCGCCAAGGCAGACACTCCTCACAGCTCTTGAAAACTGGCCCCTTTGCCCTCATCCTCCCACCAGGGGAAAGGATCTTCACCCCTCTCGGGGCCAGGACCCTTGAGGGTCCCTCAGGGCACAGAGAGCCTGGAGCACAACAGCCAAGGGAGCCGCTGCTGTGCTTCCCTGAAGGGGCTCTCCCGGGGTGGGGGTGGGGGGTTCCTGAACTCAGGCTGGCCCTAGACCCACCGCCACCCAAACCACCAGAACGAGTCTGCAGGGCGGCCTGGCAACCTGGTCATGGTCCTGCGGCACTGGCCCGCCTGGCCCGCCCTATGCAGGAGAGCCCACGAACTCCTGGCCTTGGAGGAAAGGTCCCGCAGAGGCTGGTTTTGAGGCACATCGCCCAAGCAGAGGAGCAACCACGGACCAAATACTCCTCGGGAGGTGTCCGCAAGGTGCTTTCAAATGGAGTCCAGTCTGTACATCTGGAGAGAGAATGAGAAGGCAAATGTGGGGAAATGTAGGTGAGGGATTCTTGTGATGTGACCATTCTTGTAAAGTTTTTTGTTGGCTGGATTTTTTAAAGGAGCGACTGGAAGTCCCGGGAAGGAAATTCTAAAGGTGAGACGTTAGTTTTCTGCGGTGAGTGGAATGAGAAGAGGTAGGTGCTCTCTCTTGGACTCATCCCAGGCGGGGAGGCAGCCTGGACCCGAGGCCTGAGGCCTGACCTCCCCGGCATCACCCCACACTCGTGAGGATGACTCTCCCGGAACCATCGCAAAAAGTCCTTCCCTGACCGGGAATCGAACCCGGGCCGCGGCGGTGAAAGCGCCGAATCCTAGCCACTAGACCACCAGGGAGCTGCAAGCTGCTTCTTTTTAAGAAATACAAGTACTCTCTGCATTAAGTTGTGGCTATTTCCCGACTGGGGCTTGTTTCTCGTTTTTTGGGGGAAGGGGACGCACATAGTTCTCAGGAATTGTCCCCTAAGGCCGTTCCCTCCATACTTTCTCTATAAAAGGTGCCCCACAACAAAGACCTTATAGTGTGCGAGACAGCGGTCGCGCCCCGGGATCCCGCCAGGTCCACAAGTCGCCCCGCGCCGTCCCCCTAGATGCGCCTTTGCTAGGTGACCGCGTGCGGACACGACGTCGCCGAGAAGAGTTGGGAGTGGCGGCGCCCGGAGTGAGACCCCGCGGTCCCCAACATCCCCCCAAAGGACTCCGAGGGACACAGCGACCGAGGCGGCGCGGCGGGAACAGGCTTCCGAAGCAGGCTGGGCGGCCCTGGCCTGGACGCCGCCGGGTCCCCCCCCCCCCCCCCCCCCCCCCCCCCCCCCCCCCCGGCCCGCCTCCCCTGCTCCTCCCACCTACCTCGGCTGCGGCTCCGCACCGCCCGCGGCCCAACCAGAGGTGCTCTCGGACGCCGGCCTGCCCCTCCCGCCACACGCCCGCTCGGTCCGAAGCTCCTGTTTCTTCTTTTGTTACTACCCGTCTGGGAGCCACACGATCGGTCTGCCGTCGGGTTCGGGCCAACGGCTCTCCCGACACAGGCGGGGAGATGAATATAACGCTGGCACCTTGTCTCCCTCACCCCTAATGGGGATCGTAGGTTTGAGTCGGCTCTGTCCCTCCTCCAGGCTTTTCCTCGAGAGCCCTGGGTTAGGGCCGGGGCCCCTCGGCGTGGCTTCTCTTGCGGGGTGTGGAATCCCACAGACCTTCGGTTTCAACCAACAGAGAGGCTCCAAGGGGCGCTTGGCTGTGTTTGCGGGGCCCCAGCGTGATCCGAGTGTGTTGGCTTGTGGTTCTGAGCACCGACTGCCCTTCATGCTCCTGGAGGGGAAGGTTCAACGACTCCTTCCTCCTGTCCACGGAGAACCACCGAGGGTCCGGATACGACAGAAAGATTGTGAATCATCTCTCCTGGCTGGGAGCGAAAGGAGAAAAACAGAATTTGGAGGGAAAGAAGTGGGGAGGAGGGGGACCCAAAGAAATTCAGTGATGGAAAGAAAGCTCCTTTGAAGGCCACATCTTTTGGAACTAGGTCCTCGGGATGCTGGTGACGATGGCGCCTCCCTAACTGCATTTTGAGCCACAGCAGAACAAAGCAGAGCCCTGTGGGTTGGTGTCCAGTGAGTATGCTGCCTGCGCTTCTTAAGGTTGGAGCACTTGAACTTTGAGTGCGAAGGACACGCAGTAACCATTGCACTAAGGAGACCAACTGCTGGAGAAAACGGCATATTCTTCCCTAAACTTTTTAAGCTTTACTTCTAAAGAAAGTACGAGAAAGGGGGAGAGAGGCAAGAAAAGAAAAAGAATCAAAGAAAGAGCATTAAAGTCTTTCTCAGCATTTCTGTCTGTTGGCATTTTGCTGTGAGGTAAACTTGACCCCCCCCCCCCCCCCCCCCAGGCCCCTGCTTTCTGTGAAAACCGCCTTTACCTCTTGGCCCGTCCTGGGTTAAAAACCGCACCCCTTGACCTGTTGAACAGGAAAGTTATAAAAGGCAAATAAAGGAAGTGTCGGGTATTGTAAAAGGTAAACCAAAACTGTTCTTCAAAATGAATCTCAAGACGGATGAGGAAGAAATCGAATAATCGTGAAATCTGCGTGGACTGTCCCTGGATCCTGAATCGATTTATACTCTCTGTGGTCTCCTAACGAATTCATTCCAGGCCAGCACTGGCCTGTATCAGTGTTCGAGATTTTAAAACAGCCAAATGTCCTAAGATGTAGCCTATGCTACGGTACTAAAACACACAGGTATGATGAGATAACTGGACTTAATTAGTCGAGTAGAATAAGCGACAGCGGCAGGAATCGGAAGGCCCGCCTCTGCCGGGAAGGCCGCGGGGAAGCTCAGGGTCAAAGTGCCGGCTGAGGAAGAGCGCGCACGCGGGCGGGTGCGGGTGGCGCCGACGGCAGGGCCGGGAGAGCGGGTCCCCGGGTCCCAGCACCGGCCACGGGCCGACCGCACGGACCGTCCCCGCCGAGGAGCAGCCGGCAGCCCAGGAGGCCCAGGGCTCCGACGCCCCTGACCGGCCGGCTCGGGCAGATCCCGGGAGCTGGAAGCTCGGCGGGGGGCGACGTCGGCCCCGGGGCCCCTCGTCCTGGANGGGGGGGGGGGGAGGTCGGCTGGGGGCGACGTCGGCCCCGCGGCCCCTCGTCCTGGAGGCGGAAACCCCGCGTTCGCTGCTGTGCCTGAGGCCAGACTGCTGGGGGCGCCGGGATCCTGCCCTCGGGGGAGGCGGGGGGAGGCGCGGGGGCCGCTGCCGGGGTGCCCCGGGGTCGCGGGGTCCTCTCCCGGAGGGGCGCTGGTGCTCCCAGGGCCTTCGGCGGCGACACCGACGCGGCGGGCAGGACAGCAGGGGCGGGACCGAAGCTTCTCCAGGCGGGAGCGGAAAATGCTGCCACCGCCTCGTTTCCGTAGTGTAGTGGTTATCACGTTCGCCTCACACGCGAAAGGTCCCCGGTTCGAAACCGGGCGGAAACAGCTTCCTTTTACTCGATGTCTACTGTCCTTTAAATAGGAAGGGTGGGTTGAGCTACCGGAAAGCCTTCAAAAAAATTTCGTAGGAATCCCAAAGTAGCCAGCATCCAAGAAGGTAAACACTGACAGTGTCTGCCATCCAATCAGAGAGTGCCAGGCGTAAAGGAGGCAGGAAAGCAAGACCCAAAGGAGGGGAATAATCAACTGAAACTGAAGGAGAGCGGACAAGACGTTAAAACTAGCAGAGCAGACCTTGAATGTGTTGCATACGCCCAAAGAGTTAAGTGGCATATGAAACATATACAAATGACCAGGATCAAATTTAAAGGAAGAAACTATAACATCTGAGATAATAAACTCACCATATAGAATTACCAGCAGTTTAGACATTGTGTAAAATAATAGGGGACATAAAGCGATGAACAATGGACATATGCAAAGTGAAACAGTAAAACAAAAACAAAAACTTTTAAGTTACCATAGCATCAGTGAATAGTAGGGCAACTTTAAAAGGCCTAATAGATGAGTGATTGGAATCCCTGAAAAGACTGGAGGAGAAATGTTTTGAAGTAAAAATGTTTGAAGAAACAATAACAGAAAAATTTCTAATCATAATGAAAATTATGTTTTAATTAAAGAAATTTATGTCTTATTTATTTTTGAGAAAGAGTGCAAGCAGGGGAGGGACAGAGAGAGAGGGAGACACAGAATCTGAAGCAGCATCCAGGCTCTGAGCTGTCAGCACAGAGCGGGATGTGGGACTCGAACCCAGGGACCCTGAGATCATGACCTGAGCTGAAGTCGGATGCTTTAACTGACTGAGCCACCCAGGCGGACCCCTCAACCATAATGAAAATTATAGGCCCGCCCACCCACCCAAGGAGCAAATGGATGCAATGAATGAACACGAGGACTATTTAAAAACTCACACCAAGTTACATCATAATTAAATTGTTCAAATCCATGGGCGGGGAGCTTCAAAGCAGCCAGAGGAAAAAGACATGGCACTATGAACATTCATTAAGGGAAATCTCACTGAAATGGAGGGGGGAGGTTCAACAGGGGGATGCTCTCATGCCTTTCCATTTGCTCTCAATTGCAAATCCAAGGTAAGAGGTGGACCTTGCAGGAGGAAACTACTTTGCTACCCTGCAGAAGGATGAGAGGCTTTCCTCCCTTGGGTAGACAGCCCAATCAACGAGAGACAGTCACAACTCTGCCAATGGGAAGCCCCTGTACTTAAAACTCCCAGTGTGAGCCAAAATACTTTTTATTTATAACAGCCTTCCCAACTTCCCACTTGCCTGTATAAAAGACCGTACCTCTCCTTTGTTCTGTGCACCTGCCTACAGTTTTATTTTCGCTTGCTTGTCTGGGATTGTAATTCTCTGCTTTTCCTGAACAAACTCATCTTTTGCTGGTGAAAAAAACTGGCAATTTAACTTCAAGGTTCACAGTACGTAAAGGAAAAAACAAAGACGATGTCAGAGTTTCATCAGAACCAACACAAATTAGAAGACAGCTGACCAACATCTTTAAAGGATGGGTGGGGGGGGGGCACATCAACGGTGGAATTCCTTGCCTCCTCCCCTCCCAAAAAAAGCCTTTCAAAAATGAAGGTGAATAATGACATTTAGAGATCCACAAATGCTCAAAGACTTCATTACCAGCAGACTCACCCTTCTTCCTCTGGGAAGGACACTGATACCAGATGGGAATCTGTATGTACCCAAGAATATGACGAAAGGATATTTGCATGGGGAAATTTATGATTTTTTTCTTATTTAAACCCCTACTACCAAGAGACAGATTAAACAAAGGTAATGACGATGGACTGTGAGGTTTGTAACATACGCAAGGTAAGATGCATGACAAAAGTAGCATCAAGGCTGGCGGAGGAGAAATGTGAAGAGGTATGAGATCACTTAAAGGCGACTGTGGTAAGTTACAGATTATGTGCTATGAAGCTTAAAGGAGTAACTGAAATAACAAAAGAAAGAGTTATAGCTAATAAGCCATCAAAGGAGGAAAAATGGAATCATATAGAAACCATGTCAAGACTAAAGACTCTGCTAGAACAATTGCATTCTACCTTGTAGATATATATATAAGTATTGACTGCATATGACTGCAGGATTATTTATAATAATAAAAGCATAAACCCAATTAATTTCAAAACTATATGGAAAGGCTTAAATAAATATTATTATAAAGAAACTTCGTTGTTAAAATTAATTCAGAGGGTAACGATGTGTACTCTTGAGGATTCCTGGTGACCTCTTTTCCTCGGGAGGATCCGTGACGATCTTGGCTTAGGTCCTTCTGTTGCGCACAGGGCGCATAAGGACAGGAGGGTAGTACAGGCATTTCTCCTTTAGGTGAGGAGATGTACAGGTTAGAAAGACACAACTTTCACGAGCTAAAAAAAGGACGCGTGTTCGTCCCTGGGTGGGCTCGAACCACCAACCTTTCGGTTAACAGCCGAACGCGCTAACCGATTGCGCCACAGAGACCCGCGAAAGCACCTCCTGTCATCTAACAGAGAGCAAGCACTCACTCAACGCAAGGGGGCGCCACCCCGGCTTCCCGGGACAGTCGTGCAGCCTCGGAAAACCGGAGAGCAGTTGCTGTGCAGAGTTCGCCCCGTTTGAATCCCGTGCGTCGGGCGATCCCCGGCTGCACAGCCTCCCCCTCAACCTTGTTCCACGCCCGCCTCAGACGCCAGAGCCCCCAGAGACGCCCAGGGCTGCGACCCCCCCCCCCCCCGCCAGGGCCTGGGGCAACAGGGGCCTAAGAGAAGCTGAACGCCTGATGGGCGCTCGTGAGGGGTTGATTCGTCTTCACCCGCCCATCTGCGCTGGGGGCGCTCGGCTCGGCCGCGGTGGGTGTGGTGGCAGCCCGAGTGGGAGGTGGGGGGATCAAAAGGGGAAACGTAAGGAGGAGGGAAAGTAGCGGGGCGGGGGGCATGGACACCGCACAGATGCCCCCCCCCCCCCCAAGAGGCCAGT